TCTCAGGCAAGCGCCGTCCCCCCTCTGCGCCGCGCGGTCGTTCACCTCTCAAGGCCGTCACGCTTTATCCGTAAAGCCCGATGTATACAATAGATAGAGTAATGGCTCCTGCACACAGGACGCGGTAATGCTGGCCGCGCGGCGAAAGTTCGCGCGACAGCCAATCAATATGCTGCTTTCCATAATAACCTTCTAGCTCTTACGGAAAAACAACATATTGATTGGCTGTCGTGTGGACTTCCGCCGCGTCCTGTGTGCAGGAGCCATAAGGAATAAAAGCAAGACGAAATGGAAATAAAGCCCGATCTACAATAGATGGAGTAAGGAGTAGGAGTAAAACGAAATGGAAATAATTTATTTCGCTTACTTCCTCTTACTCCAGCTCTTACTACTTAATTCAGGCTTACTTCATGTGATGTAGACGGACAAACTTTGTTGTAGATCGGGCCTAATTTATTTCGCTTACTTCCTCTTACTCCAGCTCTTACTACTTAATTCAGGCTTACTTCATGTGATGTAGACGGACAAACTTTGTTGTAGATCGGGCCTAATTTATTTCGCTTACTTCCTCTTACTCCAGCTCTTACTACTTAATTCAGGCTTACTTCATGTGATGTAGACGGACAAACTTTGTTGTAGATCGGGCCTAATTTATTTCGCTTACTTCCTCTTACTCCAGCTCTTACTACTTAATTCAGGCTTACTTCATGTGATGTAGACGGACAAACTTTGTTGTAGATCGGGCCTAATTTATTTCGCTTACTTCCTCTTACTCCAGCTCTTACTACTTAATTCAGGCTTACTTCATGTGATGTAGACGGACAAACTTTGTTGTAGATCGGGCCTAATTTATTTCGCTTACTTCCTCTTACTCCAGCTCTTACTACTTAATTCAGGCTTACTTCATGTGATGTAGACGGACAAACTTTGTTGTAGATCGGGCCTAAATGAAATAAATTATTTCTATTTCGTCTTACTCCTACTTCTTACTCCATCTATTGTAGATCGGGCCTAATTTATTTCGCTTACTCCCTTACTCCAATAAAAGTTTGCCCGTCTACATCACATGGAGTAGACTTGAATTAAATATTAAGAACTGGTGTAAGGAGCTGGAGTAAATAAATTATTTCCATTTCGTCTTACTCATACTCCATCTATTGTAGATCGGGCCGCTTCAGTATGTGTTAAGCACTGATCGCAAACGGAAATCTGTACGTAATTCATCCCATAAAGAAAATCATAATATAACAAAACCACAATTGTACGTGATTTGATATCTCATTATTTATAAAGATAATATGAAGTATATATTAAATATATAATAAAAAGAATATAATATAATATAATATAATATTATAATAAAAAGAAGATATATATAGGAGAGAGAAATATTTAATTTGATATAGAGATTAAAATCTTATTAAAATTTTTATTGTTTCTCTCTCTCTTCTGTGGCATACTGTTTGTTCATTTAGTCATTGCAATAACTAAATTTATAAAACCTAATAATGTAGAAAAATACAAATTTTGATTTATGGTTATTAATATTAATTCAACAATTTAAATATTTCTACTATATTAATATTAACTCAACAATTAATATTAATGATAGGATTCTATAATTCTACAATTACATAATTCTACAATTAATATTAATTCAACACATTAAATATTTCAAATATTTCTATCAATCTTCTCTTTTATTATAAAAATATATTTTTCATATAGTCATCTTATACATATATATGATATTCTTGGACACGTAAAATCACGCTTTTACATTACGATTTCCTTTATGTGTTGTTTACTGTTATGTACATTCGGAGAACATAAAGTCTAGAATGCAATTTGCGGGGCCGAGGGAACATTTTCTCCTTCCACGCGCCATTCCGCTTTAGTCGTGATCATTCTGTTGGGCGTCAATGAAAGGAAAGCTCGAATCATACTGAACTTTTTTTCTTTTCTGTTTACGAAACGTCTAAACCGCAATACTCGCCGCGCGAAATCGAACAATGCGTTTTGTAAACACAAAAGAAAAAAACATCAATATCGTTCAAACTTTCCTTTCATTGATACTCAACCGAATAATCACGACTGAAGGGGAATAGCGTGCGGAAGAGGAAGTGTTCCTCCCGGCCCCACAAGTCGCATTCCACACTTCATGTTCCGCGAGTATACACACTCTTACGTTTATTTCTATGTGCACGCTTCATTGCGCGTAGTATATGTGTCGGTTCGTTAGTTACAATTCCTTCTATTGCGTGATAAAATATTTCCTTCGTTCTTGAAATATTGAATCGGGCTCTCGTCGACATTGCGTTAATTAATATATGTTTCTCCGACTAAATTATGCTTACGCGAGTGTCAGTGTCAGTGCCACGTACTTATACAAATTACTACGGAGTATTGAGAAGCAGGATACCGGATTGGAAAATCAAGACAAAGGATACAGGACATTAGGACGCAAGCAACGATACATCATATATTTCCAGGTTCGTGAAATTATTTATTATAATTATTTAGTATTATTATTTATTATTATTTATTATTATTATTATTATTATTTATTATAATTTTAATTAACGTGTGATGAATTTAGTGAGAACAAGAAAATATTCGAGTTGAAATTTAAGCTAACATAGTTCGTCTTTATTTAAAAAATAAATTTCGTAAGTTTGTGATTTTTCATCAATTTGCAAAAAATAGCTGAATAATATCCCATAAATATAAATCTATAATTAATCATGTTCTCAAGTAAATATAAATAATATGTAATTATCGATCTTGAAATCTAATGCAAATCTTGCATATTTCTTAGTATTTAACAATGCTTCTTATGAATTACGTGATTAACGCATTTCTAATTGAAATTAAGAATAAAAATTAAATACAGATATAATATTGAAATAATAAAATGTTAAATAATTCTGAAATAAATTCTCTATGTGCGGACAATTTTCGACATAGAGAAAATTAAGTGATCGACGTAAGACCGTATTGTACAGTATTGTATTTGAAGATCTCACATTGGCTTTTCAAGTTCGATTTGTAGGATTAATGTAGGCTTCAAATTTCGACCCAACATTTTCGCTGAGGCACACTATATGTTGAAAGTTACATACTTGAAACTCGCGGGCCATCTGCCAATCTTTGGCGCGAGACGGTCTCTCGGCGAAATGAAAGACAAGGCCCAAAAACTGGGCGACGCTTAAAAGTCGGGACGCGTAATATATCGTCGTTCGGATGGAGGAAAGCAACTCTCATGTATGCAAACGCTTTCGCGGAATAAAAGAGTCATGTGAGTTCGCGCGCAAAGGAAGACGGATCGCCAAAGCAACAGATGTTCGAATTGAATTGAATTCAAAATCACTCGTTACACTTTCTTCCAAGTATCGTCGCCGTTTCCTTTTCCTTTCTTCTTTTGATATAAAAATAAAAAAACTTGTATTAATTTTCCAAATTTAATTTTTATTTATTTTTATTTTATTTTTCAATATTAAATAATAAATTTAAAAAAGTAATCAATTTCTATATTTTAAAAACATTTTAAATAATAAATTAATTTTTAAAAGTAAATTATTTTAATTTCTAAAAGTTTCCAAAAATTTGTTTCTATAAAAAATTTTTTAATATAAGAATGATTCAGACTTTTGCACTATAAGATGTTCGAAGAGAGAAAGAGAGAGTGAGAGCGGGAAAAATTAGGAAAAGGCGCGGACGCGCTGTGGATGAAAATAAGAGGACCTTGGGCAGCGACGGAGCTTTCATTGAAATTTCATCCGTGGGCGATCGTGTCCGGCGCGAAGGAAACGCGAAATAGGAATGCAACTCGCGCGAGGAGCAAACCGCCGCCGGCCGGCATTCGCGATTGGCATTCGCAGCGTATCGCGCACGTACGCCGCGTGTCGCGAGACAAAACGCACGAACGGAGGAGCGTACGCGCGACGGAGGTGTCAATAACCTCTCTGGCACTCTCCTCCACCTGCGCCTTTGTACTTCCACCTCCCGCACCGACTCGTCCGCGCAATCGGCCCGACGAGTTGCCTTTAAATCGGCGAGTCACAATCGATCATAACGAAGAAACTTGATCACACTATCTCTTCTCTTGCAAATCGAGTCAAAGCTGCACATTCAAAATCGAGTTAAAGCAATCCATTTCTGCGTTCTGAACAGATATCACACCCCGAAATCTCTTTTTCTAAATATCAAAACAGACCGCAAACGACGCGGGCGTGTGAAAGTGTTAAAATAGTGAGAGCTACATTTGCGAAGGGATATCGCGAATTTTGAGTCCAACCGTGTATATTGCGCGCTAGAGTTTTGCTTCGCCTCGGAGATACATAAATCACGTATTTTTTCAAAATCATGCCGAGACCATCACTTTGTGTGTGCTTGCGAAATTTTCCCGAGAAGTTACATAAATTAAAGATGCGAGATCGACTCGACGACGTTGTTCTCAAGTATAAACAGTTCGTCCAAATTTATGAATACGTCGAAAAATCAATCGATTAAATTATGCGACTCGACATCCGGGTGGACTAGCACTTGGCGCTCGCATTCATATGTTAAAGTTCACGTTTGCCTCGTGTTGCGATAAAGTTCAACGGCGAGAACGCGGCGTTTCGCGCATTTCTTCAGGGATCATCGGCTAAAATTTCTGAACGAAACAAAAATGACGAAATCCACAGCGCAAGCGACCTACGTAATACTTTATTCACTTACGAAAGTAAGTGAAACAGCACATT